CCTCCAACCCCCGCCCACTCCCCTCCCCATTGATAACCACTAGTCACTTTTCAGTGTCTATGAGTCTAATGCTGTTTTGTTCTTTTGTTTTTATACTCCACAAATAAGTGAAATCATACAGTATTTGTCTTTCTCTGCCTGGCTTATTTCACTGAGCACAATACCCTCTAAATCCATCCATGTTGTTGCAAATGGCAGGATTTCTTTTCTTTTTATGGCTGAATAATATTCCATTGTGTATATGTACCACATCTTCTTTATCCATTCATCTGCTGATGGTCATCTAGGTTGCTTCCATATCTGGGCTATTGTAAATATAAATATAGGGGTACATATATCTTTTCAAATCAGGGATTTTGTTTTCTTTGGGTAAATTCCTGGGAGTGTAATTACTGGGTCAAATGATATTTCTATTTTTAGTTTTTTGAGGAACCTCCATACTGCTTTCCACAGAAGTTGCACCAATTTGCAGTCCCACCAACAGTGCAAAAGGGTTCCTATTTCTCCACACCCTCGCCAACATTTGTTATTTTTTGTTTTATGGATAGTGGCCTTTCTAACTGGTGTGAGGTGATACCTCATTGTGGTTTTAATTTGCATTTCCCTGATGATTAGCGCTGTGGAACATCTTTTCATGTGCCTGTTGACCATTTGTATTTCTTCTTTGTAGAAGTGTCTGTTCAGGTCCTCCACCCATTTTTTGATCTGGTTATTTGTTTTTTGGGTGTTAGGGCATATGAGTTCCTTATATATTTTGGATGTTAACCCCTTATCAGATGAGTTATTTACAAATATATTCTCACACAGACTCACTTTTGAAAATGTTGCTTTATAGTTATTTCAAAGTTTAATGGTCTGGCTAGTGCTCAAATACTCAGTGTCCTTAACTAGAAGATAGCCCATAAACTTGGGATTCCAGTTCAGGCAGTACAGCTTACCTCCTTCTGTAAACAGTGAAGCACCTGGTTTGTCTGTTCAGATAGAGGGCATCCCTGTCCTACACAAAAGTGGCAACAAAGATTCCTATGAGTAGAGTTGAGTTTTCTCCTTAAGACTTTGAATTTGTTCCAGTATTAGGAATGAGTGTTTGGTTAAGGTCCCAGAATCCTTAGCACATAAAGCATAAAGGGACAATTTTGGATTGAAATTTCTAAGGGTAGTTGTTACTAGTGACCTTGACCCATTTTGGGGTGAAACGGCATGTTAATAGTCCTGCCAGTGTGGGCTAATGCAAATCATATCTCTACCTTGACAAGCACCTGGATAAGGTGACCTGTTAGGTAGAGAGAGTTCTTTAATGGTGTCTACTTCAACAACAGGGAAAGTCTGCCAAGCATAATTATTTTATATTTAGCAGAGTTACAAACTTTTTTCCTTTCACAATAATTATCCAACAAGTTCAGCTGCTTCTTAAGAAAGTCTTCATTTCTAACAATAAAATCACATCAAAGAATACAGTTTTCAACCTTGACTGTACATTTGAACCTCTAGGAATCTTTAAAATATTCTGATTCTTGGGTTCCTCAAGACAGGCTGACTTAATTGATCTGGGTTTCAACATGTGTAGGGTTCCCTGGGTGACACTAGCATGCAGTCAGGTTTGAGAGCCACTGTCAGAGAGGAAGGGCCTTATATTCTAATTTACCAGGGTTCATGTATCCAAATACTCTAATAGCTATGTCACATTATTCAGTATGTTAAAAATCGGTTACTCAGTAGGATGTGCCCTTGAAAGAGTCATTTAAATTCTATAAACCTCAGTTTCCTCTTCTCTAAAATAGAGATAACTATTAAATTAAAGGGTAGTTGTAGAAATTTAAATAAAATACATAAGATGACTAGGAGAGTGCCTAGCATATAGTAAGCACTCAACAAAATAGGAGCTGTTGCAAAGGATTCTGGACATGGCCCTACTATGTACACTTAGAAATGGAACTCAGTCAAGTCTGGTGGTGTATGATACAGGCTTTGACACAGAGTTCTCTACTGAGGTTGTGCCATTGAGGCCACAGATGGTGCCTTAAGTAAGATCAGGGAATGCTCTGAAGAAGCCTCTCATTGTTTTGGACTTTCTTAAGACAAAACCGAAAGGAGCAGTACCGCCCTATTCCTCAGTGAAAGAGAAACCCAGCCTGGAAATCTGTTGAAAAGAAAACCGTGATAAAATATCAGACACCCCAGGAGAAAGTAATCAGTCTCAAATTTGACAATTAGATTGTTTTCCGTTTTTAAAAGAGAAAGGTGTTGATGCTATGAGCATATTAAAATCCATAAAACAAATTGAAGTAAATGTGTGGTGAGGAACACCCCTCCTGGAAATCTAGTAGCCAGCAATCTCTTGGATTTTTTTTAAATTTAATTTTAGACTATTAATCAGAGACTTAAATAAATGCCTTCTCTATTTTTCCTTTTAAAACCTGTTTGCTTTACATGTATATACACACACATATATCATATATTTAAATATAAATCCAGATTTTGCAAGTAGATCTATAGCACTTTAGAACCAAAGGATGAACTAGGGAATCTCCAAAATGTGACAATAATATCAAGAGTATAAGTTCAAGTGACATTACTTCCTTGGTTCTCAATCAAAATGCTGGTTCTGTGCTAATCTAGCAGAAGCCTCACCAGGGGAACCTGTGCTCCCAAATTCGCACCTTCAAAAATTTGACCACTCTGGCTGAGCTGAAATTTCCCATTAAAATAGATTTTTAAATGTAAGTTTTTTTCTAAATAATTAAACTGCTCATAGAACAATTTGAATAAAATTTATGTATAAAGTTAACTGAGCTCTGGCCTAATACTGAACTCTCTTCCATTCTGTTGCCAGAGTGGCCTTTAGAAAACAGAGACATGTGGTTATATTATTCCAATGTTCAGAAGATCTTTTACTATTTGAAATTGATGTCCTTAACTTGGCATTCAAAACCTACCAAAATATGGCCCCACACTACCCCTGGTTCTGTCTTTTCCTAAATACCCTGTGGTGCTCATATCCACATCTTTGTTCACTCTGTCCTTTCTGAAAACACCCCTTCCATTTCAATTCTGCCTCTCAAACCCTTACCCATTCTTCACACCCCAACTCAAATGCCAATGCCCTCCTGGGGCATCCCCCATCCCCATTCCAATGCTACTTTCATCTTAATTTTATTTCTTCCCTGTTCATTTTACTTCTTCCCCAATCTGTGCTTCCTAGAGCTTCGTATTATTGCTACAGCATCCTTACAGTTTTCCTTGTGTTAGCAAACATTTGGGAAGTAATAGTGACTAGTGCTTAAGGGAAAGTAATGCAGACTTTTGAGCCAGACTAGACCTGAGTTAAAACCCTCCTAGGCAAGTCACCTAATTCTTCTGAATTTCAGCTTCTTCATCATAAACAGAAAAAAATATTATCAAAATTGCATGGATTGGTAAGGGAGAGTATATGAGAATACTCAGAAAAGGTCCCCAATAGAGGGTGCTATTAGTACCACATTTATTCAGATCATCCCCCGACTAGTTCATCAAGAGTACCTTGGAGCATCTTACCCTCCATAGTGTTTTCTGAACTGAATGGAAGCAGCAAAAATTGATGACATCTGCTGCCTAGCTCTCACTGAGCTATTAGTTTTTCAACATCAGTTCTGAATTTCAGAAAGAAATGTCCATTTTTAGGCAACAGCAGCATCTCTCTGTGACATCTCAATATGTCTCAATCCTGAAATGATTATAACTCATGTTTGATTCAATCCAAGTTGACAAAGCCTTGAAGAATAGCCCAGCCCATAAGCATGTCTACTTTACTTAGGCTTAGGAGAGCGTAGCCTTCTGTACAAAGAGTCTGAACTCCAAGGAACACTATGTTAGCTTTTAATGACATTGTCCTTTGCTCAGATGTTTACATAGAGGAAATAATGGATCTTGGGAAGCTCTTAATTATCCAAAATACTGTGCAGTAAGAAAGGCACAGAAACCCTGGTTTTCTTTAACGTCTAGAGTGCTGGTAACTACACAGGATGCTCTCAGGATGTGTTTATAATGACAATCCTTGAGTCCTTTTCTTGACTCCCAATTCCCTCTTAAAACTAAAAAAAAAAAGAAGCCACAATTTTCTCTGGCAATTTCTGAATTATTTCCTTTGGAAAGCTGAATTTTCTAAACCACCATGCTTCATGAATCCTGAGTGTCGGTTTCAGCACCAAGGACAGAGCCTCTCTGGGTTTAAGGCCCACCCATCCAATTTCATTAACAAAATCTTAAATGTGTTAAAGTTTCTGTTCAGATGTTCATGTAATATATTGCTTTTCTAAACAGTAGTTATGTATCAAACCTTGGTATGATATACAAAGACTCAGTAGCAAGTTTCAGCTTTCAGGATAGAACAAAGGCAGTAGATGAACAAGACAGGCAAGTTAGTCATTGTAATGCTATATGATAAGCGCTATTACAGAGTTCTGTACAAGTCATGTAGGAGCCGTGGGAGTGAAAGATTAAGTCTGGCTGTCAAAAGAAGGCTTTACAAAGGAGTTGACATTTAAGCTGGATACTGGGAGTTGAGTGAAATTCGCAGTATAGTGAAGAGACTCAATCCATGCAAGAGTACACAATATATTCAGAGGTTTCTGGAAATGTGGTTTGATGTGTCTAAAAAGTGTTGTGAATGGAAGATTAGGGTAAGAGATAAGGAATAGGCTAGGTCAGATCTCCTCATACTTGTATACCAAGCTCTGGAGGTTACGCTTTATCCCAGGAAAATTGGGAGCCATAGAAGGGTTTTGAGTAGGTACACAATCTGATGAGATTAGTGTTTTAGAAAGATAGTTCATATAGCAGGAGAGAGAATATACAGAAAAAAAAAAGAAATGAGAGGGCAGTAAAACAAATAAGAGTAACATCTGTCCATATGGTCCTGGGAATGAAGGACCATTCCATCATAATCAAGGTCAGACAGGGAGAATTTACTTAGCCCTATTCACTGCTCATCAATGTTTCACATGTGTATTATGTCTCTCCAGATTCTTCCAAGAAGATAAAAGATGTCTTGGCTGAATTTAATGAGGGTGGGAGTCTCAAACAATATGACCCACATGAGGTAAGAACATTTCCATTTCAAGACTTTTTAAAGCCCTGTGTTCCAGCCTTTCCATATTCTCCTCTTATAAGTTTAGCTCAACTTGAAAAACTTGCTTCTCAACATTTTTTCCTCCTAAATTTCAAGTGAGCCATTGCTGCTACCCAGAATTATGTTCCCCAAGTTCATTTGCCCTCTCACTGTCCTAGGAGTCTACATCAGACCTTCTCCCCTCCTCAGGTCTCTCACTGCTCCTCCTTTCTTCATTCTCAGATACCAGCTGTGTTTTCTACTTCACTAAGGAAATAGAAACAATAAGAAGAGATATTCCACAAGATCCTCACCCACCTACATACCTTTTTTCCTATAACTAGGGATGAACTCTCCATGGTCTTATTAAGTCCAGCTCCTCCATATGTAGTCAGTCCCATCCTCTTTTTGACCTACCAACAGGCATTGCTTCAGCAATGCATTCTCTCTCCCTTTCTCTCTGTCATATATATCTTTCACATCAGCTTTCTCCTAAATATTGGCTTTTTCTCATCAATATATAAACATACTGTTATTTATCCTATATTAAAAAATGTTCTCCTGACTCTACTTCTCCCTCAAGCTACCACATCATTTCTCTCCTGTCCTTTATATCAAAGCTGAGCAAAAGATTTATCTATACTCATTGCCTCCAATTTCTCTTCTTCCCAGTCTTTTGAAAGCCCTTCAGAGTGTAATCTCCACCCCTTCACTAAAATACTAGTCAAGATAACCAAGGACCTCCATGTGGCTGAACTCAATAGCCATTTTACTCATTAGCATTGGACATGGTTGGTCAAATCCTCCTCCACCTTTTTCACTTGATTTTCAGAAACTACATTCTCCTGGTTTTTCTCTTACCCCTCTACTTGACATTTCTGCTTAAAAATCAAATAGGCATCTCAAACTTAACATGAGCTAAACTAAGCTCCTTAATCTTCCCCTGTAAAACCTGTTTTTCCAGCACTCTTCCCCATTTTAGTAAATGATAACTCTGTTCTTTAAGTTATTCATCCTAAAACCATGGAGTAATCACTGACTTTTCTCTTTCTAAATCATCATCAAACTTGTCACTGTTACCTTCCAAACATACCAAAATCAAGCCACATCTCAACACCTGCACTACTTCCACCCTGCCCTGAGGCACCACCATGTTTTGCCCAGATTTTTGCAATAGTCTCCTGACTGGGCTCCTGATTCTGCTCTTGAATTTTAAAATTTATTCTTCTTACAAATCCTGAATGATCTGTTAAAATTTAAGTCAGATCATGTCACTGATCTCTCAAAGTCCTCCTACCCACTACTCAGAGTCAAAATCTAGGTCATTATGATATGTACCTTCCCTTACTTTCTAACGTCATCTCTTGCTATTCTCCTTTACCTTATTCCTTTCTAGCCACATTAGTCTCCTTGATGCTGTCAAATAGGCCATGATTGCTGTGACCTCACCACCTTTGCACTTGTTTTTGCCTCTTCCTAGAATGTTCCTCCCCCAGTTATCCACATTTTCCATTCCCTCACCTCCTTCAAGTGTTTACTTAAATCACCTTCTCAGTGAATGTCACCCTCTCTCTCTAAATTTTAAGTCCTCTTTCCTGATGCTTTCTGTACCCTTTGTCAGCCTTATTTTCCTCCTTAAGATTTCTCACCATCTGTCATGCTTTATAACTTATTTAATTGCCTATCTCTCCCACTAGAATGTTTTTGTTAACTCCTAGATACCCAGAACCCTGGGTACCTGGCTAATAGTAGGCACAAAAGAAATATTTGTGGGATGATTACATGACTTCAAGACCTCACCTACTTTCAAATTCAATCCATGTAATGTTTTGTAACCATCCAGGCTTGTGCTTGGTATTGTAGAAGATATAAAGATGAGGCAGCATACTTCTTGTACTTCAAAACTTAATTCCTACTGGCAGGGTCAAGTTTAAGAGCCATGATCCTGGATTCTCATGGCCTTAGCGTAGACACCTATCTCTGCTGTCAACCAACACTATGGCCTTGGATAATATTTAACCTCTCTGAGCCTCAGTTTCCTCCCCTGTGACCTGATGATAGCAACAACCAAAGAAAGACCTTGAAGTTTGCAGAAGAGTGAGTTAAATTTGATAATTTTTGCAAAGTGACTAAGACTTTACAGGACACTTAAAAATGGTACCCATTATTATTCTGTCCCTTCTGTCCCCTTTCCCAAGAATGTTATAAACTCAACACCCTTTCCCCTTTTCCCTAGTCCTTTTATAAGGACTAATGGTAGAAGAGTGACTGATCAGCAGGACGAACTTGGAACAAGGCTGGCCACTTATTTATTCATACTGTCATTCTTTCAATAAACCTCTGTCAACTCCTTCTCTGTCAGGCACTGGGAGTGAGTCAACAGAGCCCACGCCCTCCAGGTATACCTGAGAGGGGCTTTGGATAAAATGCACCCATCACTGGGAGAATGAAGCAGGAGGAAGGTTGCTGGGTCTGGAGCCAGACTGAGAATGCACCATTTCAAAGAACATTCCTAAAGAGAAGCCATGCTGAGAAAATGGCAGAGCCAACAAAGAATTTGCTGCTCCCCCAATCCCCCACCCTCAGCTCCAAAAACACAGTAACAAAGACTGACAGAAGCTGCCTATCAGCTTGTTGGCCCTGAGGCTGACAAGTGGGAGAGGAACAATTTGGTTGGGGCCAGGGAGGGTGTGAAGGCCACAGGAGCTTTCAGAAGCCAGAGCAGCTTGGCTGTTAAGAGCACGCTGCCCCCGCCTCCATCAGGCAGGCCCCCACCTTTTGTATGCCTGGCACTGCTGTGTCCCAGGAGAGATCTGTCATTCTGGTTTCAATCTCTTTCACAATGTAGTCGTCTTCTAAGAGGTGTAATGTCCCAGTATGGGGTTGGGGAAACAAGCGTTTAATTTCTCTTGAGCTTGATGGCTTACTGCAGCTAAAACATCTCAACGAGAAATGACTTAGCTGTGACAAGGGGCAGGTTGTTAGGAAAGCAAAGCCAGGAATAAAAGTTTTCAGAGTGGCAAGGCTGCATTTGGCCATGACAAGCATGTCCTTACCCTCAGCACCAAAGTGATTCTCTGGAGACTAGAGCACAGCTGAAGAGAATGTGGACAAGGCCATGGTGGAAACAGAAAGGGCAGCGTGTCTTGGGGCACCATGACCTTAGACTCGGACACAACTGAGCACAAAGCCCAGCTCTGCCCCTTGCTTTATGACTTTGAACAAGTTATGTATGTTAACAGAATACTTCTCATGCTCAGAGTGGCAGTAAGAGACCCACCTCAAACTGTTTTGAGCCTTAAGTGAGATGACATATATAAGGTACCCAATGCACAGTAAGCTCTCCATCTAGTCTTCCTCCCTTCCTGACCTGTTTAAGAATGAGCATCTCTCCTTAAACATGTTGCTGCAGCAGCATTTGCCCAGCTACCTCCTGCGTGAAAGTTGCAGTCCTGGGGAAAAGCAGGTGTGAACAATGACAGTGCCCCTGATGTTACTCCAGTGCTCAGAGAATTGCCAACATGCCTCCTAGGGTTTGGGTACCTGGTTTGAGCATAGGTCCCAGCCCCTCTCTACCCATTGCACATTTACTAAGCAGTTACTCAGAGCCTGGCCTGTGCCTGTTGGTCACTTATAACCCACTTACCACTTTGAGAGTGGCACACAATCACATTTCTGTACCTACTACCTACTGACTCAGGGTGCTTTGAAGGCCTATAGTAGGGACAGGAGCAGGAGCCCTGGAGCAGGAGACTGGGCTCCTCGTTTTACTTTGCTGTTAGCTGACTCAGGCAAATCACTGAACTTTCAGAGCATTGGTGACATGAGGAGATCTAGGCTCTTCTGTTATGAATGCCCCATGTTTCTGGGCTTATTCTATGCCATCTGTTCTCCAGGATTGGGACATAAATGGTTGGACATGTGTTATATGCTTGTTTTCTAAGTTCCCATAACAGCTTGTCAGTTCTTTTCCTACAGCACTCACATTATTGACCTGACATTGGAATTATTTCAATGCCAGCCTCTTTTGAAGGTATAGACCTATGCTAATTCACTGGTGTGTTCCCTACATTGTGTCTCATACCTAGGAGGCTCAGTACATCATGCTAACTAAACTGACCCCACAATAATTGATGACAGCCAAGTGTATCAATTAGAAACCCAGCATCCATTAAAATACCTATCAAGAAATGCTGTGATAGATGGTGTGGGGAACACAGAGATGCAATAAGACATTTCAGTGCCTACTAAGAGCTGTAGCTCTATTTGAGGAATTAAATTATGTATGTCATGAACAACTGTATATTATAGAGGAAAGCAGATATGAGTGTCACAAGATAGGAACTAAGGTGGAAAAGCATAGCAATTCATGAACAGGAGATCATACCAGGCTTCTTGGAGAAGGTGGCATCTGGGTTGGGCCTAGAATTTTAACAGGTAGGAGTTCATATGAAGTGCATGGAGGCTTGGCCAGGAAAGAAGACACAGATCAGTGTGGACAGGGTGTGGAGGTACACACATAGGGAATAAAAGGAGAAAAAGCCAGAATGGTCTCAGATCTTGAAGTAGCTCCAAGCCTAGGTTGGAGTGGCATTATGGGAGGGCTGTGAATCCTAAAGGGTCCAGGGAATGCACAGGATGATCTGTGGACTGTGGGAATACTACATCCTAGACCTCCCATTTACATTGATTTTTATCTCATCTAATTTCTATTTTCTCATTTCTTTTCTTGTATATGTTTTATAATGTATTGTAGAGGAGGACAGTAGTATATGTATATAATTTACAAGTAAAAATAAATGGGAATGCATGCTTTAAAATATCATAGAGGGGCACATGGTTTTAAAAGTTTGGAGACAACTGATCTCAACTCTCCTATGGGCAGTTAGAAGCTGTAGCAAGTTTTTGAGTAGGGAGACAATCTGATCAGAGTTGTGCTTTGGGAAGAACATCCTGACAAGGATGACTAAGACAGAAGGACTAACAGGCAGAGATGGAGGCAAGAAAGCCTTTAGAGGTAGTGCAATGGTCCAGGTAGGATGCAAGAAAACAAGTCTGAAAGCAGGAACAGTGGGGCCTTGAGCAGCCTCCTTGTCAAGGTGGTGGCAGGCAGGCAATGGACATAAAAAAGACCTAAATATGGCAGGTATTTGGAAAAGAACAGTGTACAGAAGGGATGAGAACTAGTCTCAAAAGACTGTGAGTTTAAAGCTGAGCCTGGAACATTAGAAGAATAATAGTGTCATTGACATTACCAGAAACTTCCAGGTCAGGAAGAGGAACTGGTTTAGGGAGGAAGCTAAGACAATTTTAGGTAGGAGTTCATATGAAGTGCATGGAGGCTTGGCCAGGAAAGAAGACACAGATCAGTGTGGACAGGGTGTAGAGGTACACACATAGGGAATATGTGTGATCACACATATTCAGTTTGCTGACGAAGAAACTGAGTTTCAAAAAAGAGGGAAAATGTGGTAGGGCTGAAACCAGTCACGAGGTCTCCTGAATCACATACTAACCTTCCAGCTTTGGTTTTCTAAGAGCATTATGTTAGACTTTGTTTAACTGAACTTTATCTTTATTAAATCACTTAGTACACAGTCTGGTTTCCAGAAATACTTTATGTTGAGTTTTCAGTTTGATGTTAACCGGAAAAAATTAACAGGACATTTTGGACCTCAAAACTACATTATAAAACAGTACTTGTCAATTTAAATAGTGCAAAGGAAAAGGCAAAGCAAAAAGAGCCTTTTAAAATAAGTTAATAACAGTATCATCAGCAAATACTCAGATCAAAGTAAAGAACGAAGAGAACCAAAATAGCACACCGCCATGGAAAAAGTTTCAAGAAGCAGAGAAGACGGAATGCTGCCGAGAAGCCGAAGGTGAGGAAGTCTAAAAAGAAACAGCTGAATTTGCGAACTTCAGGAGAGCTGGTTTAGATGTGAGGGGCTAGAATCCAAGCCAAATGGGATTAAGGAGGTGAGGAGGCTAAGGTGGTCTGTTTGGAGAAATCTGAATTGGACGGGAGGAAGGACAGGCTAATACCTAGAGCAGCCAGTAGTTTCTTTGGAATAATGCCCTTGGATGTGCTTGCTGGTAGAGAAGCAGACTCTGGGAGATGCCACCGGAGGCAGGGAGGGTGGGATCAAGGGTCATAAAGGTGGGTTCCATTTGAAAAGGAAGAGGAAAAGATTTTGTCCTTGTGTACTGGGAAAAAGGAAGATGTGTGAGAAAGGACATTGTGAGGTGATGAGTCTGTGGAGATGAAGAGGGATAGAAGTAGTATAAAAGAAAGACAGGAAAGAGAGAAATTGGTAGCTGTCACAAGATGTGTCAGTCCATTATTCGCTTAGAGATCCCTTAACCTGATGACAAATGGCATTATCCTCTGTCTTACCAAGTCAGGCTTACCCCCGCTCTGCAGAGGAGATGTGTAGAAAAGCCTGGCCTGGGGCTAAGTGGAAACTGCCCTGTCGGCACCCTCCCAACGGGGTCAGGAGTGTATCACTTGTTTTTGGGCCAAGACTTTGTATCACAAACCTGATTGTACACATGCAAGCCAGCTCCTGGTTCTGGAAAGTCTACCAGATCTCCCAGAAGAAACAAGGGGTTAAATGCTATCAACATTTCAGAGGGAGAGCCAAGTAGGTCCCAAAAAGGGAATTTATTCTCGTGGCCATTATTATTCACAAAAGCCTGCACAGCAGATCTTGGAGTAGTGCTTCCTCAAATGATTTCCAGGAGCATCTGCTGATTTGATGAAGAATCTGATACCATCAAAGCATAAGGCAGTGATGACTCACTGCAAACTGTAGTTGTTGAGCGCTGCGGAGTGCGCCAGCGCTCTCTGGCACGGTGGCTCCCAGACCGGGAGAGATACAGCAGGGAGAGGTTCTCGTTTTTGGCACATGGCTTGGTTTCTACCTTCTGTCCTTGGCTTCCTGCTCTTCTCCCATTGCCTAAAACCTTCAGAAGGACATTTTTTGAGAGCAGCTGAGCCAGGCGCACATTCTTCCCTGTTATTTTGAGGTTTGTCCAGAGAAGGTCACTTGTGAAAGAATTGAAGGATGGAGCCTACCCTTTCCTATTTTCTGAGACCTGAATACTGAGGAATCACATCCCTCACAGCAAAGCAGAGAATGGAGATACCACAGAAGAATCTTTGCTTCCCATTGTGTTTTCAACTATATCCCTCTTCATCTTAACTAGGACTCCATGGCACTGACCTCACCCTGCTCATGGGCCTGCACTCAGGCAGAGCCCTTCTCTGTGGCCTCTATCCCAGGGCTCACCCTCCATCACACCCGTTTCTGCCTGAATTTAGACATGTCTCATTACCAACACCTCCTGTGTCTTCATGCCCCACCAAGCCCCAGTGTGCAGCCACCAGGTTTTCTCTTGCTTACATCCTGTCCCCTGCCCCTGTGCCTGTCATTCTCTGTCACCTCCCCAGCCTCTTCATTTCTGTGTGCATCAGCATCTCCACCTGCTATGCTTGCCTTCCCATTTCTCTGGCCAGCTCCCTGACTCCTTTTCCTTCTTTCCCTCCTTCTGTCACTTGGCTTCTTTCCACTGATTTTTCCCTCATTGTCCCTCTCAGCCAATTAGCTATGATGTCTTCAAGTTGTTCATGAGGGCATACCTGGAGGTGGACCTTCCTCAGCCACTGAGCACACACCTCTTCCTGACCTTCAGCCAGAAGCCCAAGCAGGACACCCCTGACCACGCCAAGGAGGGAACCAGCATCAGCGAGGCCAGTGGCCCAGGTACATAGAACCGCTTTCCCCAAGACAGAAGGGAAGTTTTGCATCTCTCGCCTACTTGACACATGCACAAGCTGCACTCCTAGAGGGTCCCTGGGCCTGTTAATATCCCTATAGGGTGGGCAAAGACACCAGGGGACCTGGGCTCCTTGCTGCATATGCCCTGACAAGGAGCCCCATCTGATGGATCTCCCAGAGGAATAAAACAGGGCATAATTCCTGCCACTCAGGAGCAGAGGGGAGGATGGGGGCAAGAGGAGACACAAACTAGAGTATGACAGAGGGAAGAGAGCCTCCCACAAAGGCTGCTCTTCTGTGGAGGGAACATATTCAGCTCATGTGCCCAGGTTGGGACTAGCCTGACAGTGTCAGATGAAGGGTTAGGTGTGGCCACTGTCTTCCTAGAGTTTGGGATATAATGGGGGGAGACACAGCCAAACCCCAATAAGTGAGCATAAACCCTGCTAACACGTAGAGACACAGACACAATCCCGGTGATCCAAACCTTACAGAAAGACTTCTATCTGCCTCTCTTAGAAGCTGGAGGGTATGGTCTGGTCCTTAAATCTTATTATTCCCCAGATTCCAACACACAGAATGTGGATAATGCTGCTAAAGCAGATGAGGCCTGTGCTCCTGATATAGGTGAGTCTTTGGGATAAAGATTTGGGGGAGGGAGTGGGGAATGCTTCATCCATGATGGAGGGAGGAAATCTAACCAGCAGTTTTGTCTCCATGTCATTGTATGCCCTTGAGCAGATCTCATCTGCTTCCATCTCTGGGGCCCCTGACATTCAAATGTGCTCGGATGCTGAGGCTGGCTGAAGGTTCTTGCTTCACTTGCCCTGAAACAGGGAGATCAGCCCTTGGGACAGCTCATTGCATGTTTACTTCCAATGAGTCACCTTGGCCAGAGAGGGAAAAAACAGGAACCTTTGAGGAGAAAGTGTATGATGGGAGTTTGAGTGTGTCTGTGTGTGTGACAGAGAAAGAGCATATGTGAAGAAGGGCTCTAGGGCTGAGGTACAGATGGCTCTCCCAGTGGATGGCTGAAGAGGGGTAAGGCAAGAGAGCAAGAGCATGATCCTGTTGACTTCCAGCAAAATTTACATGCCCCCGGTTTGAATAAGTTGGGAACAGGAGCAGGGAGATCGGCTGACTCTGGAAGGCCGATTTGCCAGGCACCTGCTTTAGTCCCTGTTTTTTATCCTTTACAATCATACCACTTCACACACTGAGGAACTGAGGCCTTCAGATATTACATATCACTGTGTGGCATGTGGAGCTGGGGTTTTCAATCCAAAATTATCTGACCTCAAAGCTAGTGTTCTTTCCTATACCAAGAGAAGAAGCAATGGTCTCTCTTCAGGCATCTAAACTAAGGTTTGCCTCCACATACAGACACCCATCTGGCTAGTTCCCCATGACATTCTATTCTTAACTCATTAAGGTCTGCCATGATCTCTTTCAGTCTGTGCCCTCGGTCTCCAAGTGATCCAGATGGGCATCCTATTCCCATGGAAAGACTCTCAGGGACTCTCTCCCTTCCAGGTTGCTTTTGGAGCTTCAAATGCAAAGACTCAGAGAGTCAGGCTTTGTTTTCTATGCATTATAGTCTGGAAAAGATTAATATGCATTGGTGAATTACAGCTGTTAGGATGTGCCCAGGAATAAAGAATGCAGTTTTGTATCTTTCAAATATAGATAGATACATAGATATGTAGATGAGAGAGAGAGAGAGAGAGAGAGAGAGAGAGAGAGAGAGAGAGAGAAAGAGAAGAGAGGATACATCTCAATAAGAATCAATTGTAACCTAATACGAGAGAATTTTTCATGAGAAAAAGGGCAACTAGAAGAATTGTAGAGTTTTCAGTGTGCAACCGAAGACTGATGAGACCAAAGGTCCGCTGTAGATGGAAAGCAGAACGTGGTTAGGAAAGGCAAATTACCTCATGCCCAGCAAATTCCAGGCTTTTCATAGAGCCCCAGGAGCACAGATTGAAGAGCACGGGTGCCTTCTTGAGGCCTTCAGGCACAGCAGCAGAGCAGGACTGTACAATGTTGGACTCACCCACCTTCTTTCCCAGCATTCCACCCAGTTATACTAGGTCCATGGCCAAGTGGTTACATTGATTTAATTCATAAATAAGTCTTAAATCTCTGTGGAATAGAGGAGGCATGTTATGACATAAATCATTCTCATGATAGAAAGAAAAGGGTAAAACTGGAAGCTTTGAGATTCTAAACTCTCAGCAAGAAAATCAACCATGAAAATCAACCATCTGAACCCAAATTCTTTATCCAGAGACTTTCTTAGTCCAAGGATCTAGAACTTTAAGAGGAACCTGACAGCAAATACACTTCCTTCCCTGAGGTTCCAAATTGTCTGAGCAGGGTTTGTTTCAGTGGCTCAAGTTCCTGAGGTACACAGGAAGGACTTATTGGGGATATTGTCATGTGATATTTGACAAAAGATAATAAATGATACTAATGGAAGTTGGCTGGCTTTTAAAAAAATTTTTTTATTAAAGTATCATTGAAGTATCTTATGAAGGTTTCACATGAAAAAACAATGTGGTTACTACATCCATGCATATTACCAAGTCCCCACGCATACCCCAATGCAGTCACTGTCCATCAGTGTAGTAGAATGTCACAGATTCACTATTTGCCTTCTCTGTGCTACACTGTTTTCCCTGTGATCCCCCACACCATGTGTACTAAACATAATACCCCTCAATCCCCTTCTCCCTCCCTCCCCACCTGCTCTCCCACACCCCTCCCCTTTGGTAACCACTAGTCCCTTCTTGGAGTTTGTGAGTCAGCTGCTGTTTTGTTCCTTCAGATTTGCTTCGTTGTTATACTCCACAAATGAGGGAAATCATTTGGCATTTGTCTTTCTCTGCCTGGCTTATTTCACTGAGCACAATGTCCTCCAGCTCCATCCATGTTGTTGCAAATGGTAGGATTTGTTTCTTTCTTATGGCTGAATAGTATTCCATTGTATATATGTACCACCTCTTCTTTATCCATTCATCTACTGATGGACACTTAGGTTGCTTCCATATTTTGGCTATTGTAAATAGTGCTGCGATAAGCATAGGAGTGCGTATGTCTTCTTGAATCTGAGAAGTTGTATTCTTTGGGTAAATTCCAAGGAGTGGGATTCCTGGGTCAAGTGGTATTTCTATTTTTAGTTTTTTGAGGAACCTCCATATTGCTTTCCACAATGGTTGAACTAGCTTACATTTCCACCAGCAGTGTAGGAGGGTCCACCTTTCCCTGAATCCTCGAGTTGGCTGGCTTTTTTGACCATCATGCTTATTTGCAAAATCTGTGTCATTCTGGGTCTAAGAGCAGTTTGCAGATATTTCCTCCTAGAGAAGTGATTTGTAATGCGCCATTTTTCTTGTGTATGGGGAGTACCAGTCTCCTGTGGTCAAATCCTGAAAGGGCATTTATCTGACTGCTGGTGCAGGCTGGAGTATAGCATTTTTAATCTTCTTTTGTGACTCAAGATTTAAAGTAGGAAATCCTTTTCCTGTTAGACCACCTTCTATGAATGTCTTAATTACATGCCCCTATTCACCAGAAACAAGAATGTAGGGACAGTCAGACACCTCAGGGAGGGGCCTCTGCCAGCAAGGGAGAGCCAAGTTCTGCAATTACCTTAGGTCAGGCCATCTGTTGAAAATTCCGACCTTTTCCTACTGCCCACGCAAAAGCCAGAGGAAGAAACTAGATTCTCATGTGGTATGGCCTATTTAGGCCTATCAGATCAATCTCCAAGCTCAGATGTAGAACAGCCCGCTTCAAATTATTCACTTCCAGAGCATTTTTTAGGTCCATAGGCACAGCAAAGAGGAGCTTTCACTGAGTCCAGACATTGGCTCAGAGCCTTAAACACCCCGTCATTGTCAGGATGTCAGCTCAGGAAAGGAGGAATTTACTCTTCCCTGACTGCCCAGGACTAAATGAGATGAGCAATGTGGACTCAGTGTCAGTTTTTATTTAGTTCCTCAAACCACTGAGATGTTTCAGCAACTTGGAATATTGGAGACTCAAAAAGTCCCTCAATTTTTTTTCTAAGTTTTTCCCAACTATACAAGTAACACACTCACATTGTAAAAAATGTGAAGAGTACCAAAAAAGAAAAAAACTGAAGAAACAACAAAATCACCCACAGTCTACCAATGCAATCACACACACACACACACACACACACACACACTCATGTATACTTGAAGGGTTTTTCTATACATTTTTTACATAATTGGGATCAGACTATATATGTAATTTTGGAGCCAGCTTTTTCATTTAATGTTATATTCACAAACACTTTACATGTCATTCAAGACTTATAGTATACATCAATTTTAATACAAGAGTCTCTTCTAACAGATGAGAAAACTGAGGTTGGGTGTGGGAAGAAAGCTTACTTGTGTAACATCGCACACCATTTAGCACAAACCCAGAGCCAGAATCCCAGTCTTTTACCTTTAGCATAGTTCCTTCCACTAGGACACAGTGCCCCACTGGAAGGCAACAAATAATACAGGTAAGAACAGAGAAGATAGAACAGGTCAGGTCTGCCTAAGAATCCCACGTGAAAGGACTTGTCACATGGTACCTGTACAGAACCTCTATGTCCGTCTTTTATTACTGGAGGCCCTGGAGGGATGTGCTTAGATGCCTGTGGGTTAGGGGTGTTTCATGTAAGGCAACATGAGGAGGAAGGACACCAGTGGACTGTGTGCCACTCAGTCCTCTGGGCTCCAGCATTTCCATGACTGAACTGTAGACCTCAATGAAGATTAGAACAACAGTTCAAGATCCAGTCACAGCTCTGGGAATCCAGGAATCTTTGTAAAAGTCTGTAATAACATTTTTGAACAACTTTGTTGAGGTGTAATTGGCATAAAATGAATGGCACATGTTTAAAGTGTACAATGATAAGTTTGCACGTATGTATACACCTGTAAAACCAGTACCACATCAGTGTGATGAGGAGAGCCATCATCCCCAACAGTTTCCTTGTAACCCCTTTCTCCCACCCTCCTTCTCCACTCTCCCCTTTGCCATACAACCACTGATTCATTTGCTGTCACTATAGATTAGATTGCATTTTCCAGATTTTATATAGATAGAATCATACAGGATGGACTCTTTTTGGCATGGCTTCTTTCACACAGCATAATAATTTGAAAATGCATCCATGCTGTTGTGTGTATCAATAATTTGCATATTTTTATTACTCATTAATATTCCAATATAGAGGTCCACAATTTGTCCATTCACCCACTGATGGATGATTGAGTTGTTTTCAGCTTTTGGCCATTACATAAAAACATGAACATTCTCATATAAGTCTGTTGTGTGAACAGCTTTCATTCATTTTGGGTAAAGACCTAAAAGTGGAATGTTTAGGATTATCATGTTATTTTAATGAATTGGACTATTTACCATTACAAAATGATTCTCTATCTCTGATAATACTTTTTGCCTTGAAATCTATTATAATTACATTCATAGTTAATATAGCCAGTCTAGTTAACTAGTGTTACCGTGGTATATCTTTTTCCGTCCTTTTACTTTTAATATATCTGCGTCTTTATATTTAAACTGACTTTCTTACAGGAAGCATA